TGGCATTTTTATTGGAATCAAATCACCTTTAGTCATTGAAGAAACAGTACGATATGACAATAATTGAATAACCTAACAATAAACTTTCACAAAACACCAATTTAAAACAGCAACTTAGTCGCTCAGATGACCGGGTTCAACTAAAACTTAAAAATAACGTCATATTGCACTCAAACGTGATAAATTACCCTCTTGAACTAAAGGTAAACATTTTTTAGACCTACCTTCATTATAAATAATCATAGGAAACACTTAAAGCTTTTGTTATCGCGAAATACGCACTTGGCCAAGATTCCGTGCCGGTGAGTGTATATTGTTTGTGCTGTATTTGTTGCGAGTCTTGGGAACGAAATGTGACAATGGACACTTAATTTATCTATAGATAGGTGTACATGAAACACAGTACCTAGGCACCTAAAGATTCTATGTCCTTTATTCGCCTGTGCATTCAAGACTGAAGGAATTCTATAATTAATAAATAATTCATTCGGTTTGATGATGTTTAAATATGTATGTGTTGTGGTTAACGCTGTAATCATTTTGCTCACACCACCGTTAATTGATGAAAGTTTGCGTTTAATTGGAATTCACATAAAGTTTAGTATTTTACGATATTATGTCTAGGAAAGATAGCAGACTGAATAACGAAGAAGTTGAATTCATAAAATCATTAATACACTGTCGGAATGTAGAAGCGGTACCAGGTACCAGGGCGCAATAATAGTTAGGAGGCTCGTTGTGTCCTAGTTTATCTAAATAAGACTTTCTAGCAAAACGAAATAATTGGTCCACTCTCTGCGTGTGGCTACAAGTTGACCGATGTTCGTCATTCGCGGTCTAGTGCACACATTTACATATTTCTTTTTACATTATTTGTAACAACGGGTTAATACGATAACGGATGCACAAATAACTTCGTATAACCTGGGAGTGGAGCGGCGACGATTCGCGAATGACGCGCGTCTTATTAAGTGTCGAATGGAGGGCATTTACATTAAATGCATTGATAAAAATAAGCGACAAATTATATGACGCCATTTTTATTGGAGTTTTTAATGTTCTTTTGTCATTTCTGTGAAACTACTTCGTGGAATTACAAAGGTATTTTACGCATTCAATAGTTTTTGATGGTAAATACTGCAACGTCAGTAACCTTTTGAGATTAAAAATATGCATTAATGAATTTTGCTTAGTGTTTATTTGTTTGACATGCTTTTACTCCACTTTACTGCTAATCCAATTTAGGTACATTTAGATCTTTACAATGTAGTGGAGAAATGGAGATGAGTAAGCGTCTGTAGATATAGGTACTTAGCACTAAACACTGAGTGATGTAGGCTTGCAAAAACGGCAGGAATTTTTAAAAGCAACGCAGTTCTAAGGTTTTACACGCATCCAGTTACAAAAGCCTATATGTATAGGTACCTACGTGGGTCATATTTCCAATCTGTGCTTTTCATTTCTTGTGCCCTAGGTATTGTACGACATTAGGGGCCATTGTTTTATATCATGTGCCTGCTTTTTATAGGTAATTGGGATGATGACAGGGTATGAAAATTAAAAATCTAATTTGTCTGTAAGTTAGATAATGAAAAAAATATTAGACACGTATTTTTTTCGTTGAAAGATGTCGACCTCATCGTTCGCTTGATAAAATTGACGTGTAAAAGTGCTGCCTTGTAGCCTATTTGCAGAAATAAATTCACTTGTTTCATTTTGTTGTATCATGAAACAATAAAACAATACTTGATAAACGAATCATAGTTTAGGAGTGGGGGCTAAAACGTCATTTCTACGTATAAAATGTACATAGAAGTGACGTCACGCGACATTTCAAATCAATATATCGTCGAAAGTATTCGTTTCTGTAAGAAAATAAAAAATACGTGTCTGATGATTTAAAATTATCTACCAGGATATTAAAATAAAAATTAGGCATCTACCCTATTAGGTAGTAAGCTTTTCACTTAATTAAATGCCTATGTCAAACCGTTAAAAAAGGTCAACTGAGTGAAATTTATTGGCAGTGGCCAAGTTGAAAGGTTACAGGTTCGTACTTCGTTGCGTAACTTATAGTTTTATTTCACTCGTATTTGTTGGTCGTCACCATCGGCGCTCGCTAGGTAGTGTTGGAGTAAAATGCATTTGTCAGCTCTCCAACATTTTCCGCGGGTATTTAAGGGACGTGGAGTCGATACGGCTATAGTTAATTAAATTATAGTAGTGAATAATTGACGGCACGGTTGGTGCGACGGCTGGACAACCAGCTGTCGCGCAACGTGTCGCAGGTTAGATTCCTGCACGGAGCAACTTTTTGTGTGACCCACAAATTGTTGTTTCGGGTATGTGAATTTGTATGTTTGTAAGCGCACCCACGACACAGGAGAAAATCCTAGTATGGGGCAACTTTATAAAAAAAAACAGAGTACACCTCAAAACACCTGTATAAGTATTTGCTCAGATTGCATCTCTTGATGAAGTCTTGCGCAGTTGGCTAGTCTTTTTCGTATCATCAAAAAAAAAAAAAAATACTACGGCAAGAAACATCATTATTTCTACAATATTTCTCCGTCTACTTAGTTATACCATAGATTAGCCTCACATTCACGATTTATTATTTATTTTAAAAAGTTTAAGTCAATTACTATGCATACATGCGCCCACGCAACACAACGTGCATGAAAGAAAAGCAAGTAATTAGCTAAAGTCTAATTAGAGTGAGATTACATTTTGTTGAGATTAAATTTACGAGTCTGTAGAACACGATTTGTAACAAAAACATTCGTAGTAAGTTAAACCAGTTTTCAGGCAACTGAATGTTTTCTTGTTCATACACGACATCGAATAAATGACGATTGTATGTAACACGCACTTTTAGACTTTAAGGTAACTTTTATGAGTTCCATGGACTTTTTTTTCAAGCGGGGAAAATCATCGAATGACTCCCGCCTGGGTGAGGCGGTAGGGAGTGTCAGACTCTTACTGACTAAAAACCACTCCGTTCCTTCTCCTGCACGTCGAGCCGGAGCCCCGGTAACCCGTTAGGTTCTCCGCGACGAGTTCCATGGATTAGGGGGCTAATTCTCTTGCCATCGACTAGGCGCAATTCTAATATCCATGACTTAATAAAGAGAAGTAGCGCGACAGTCGTGTGTCGTCTAATGCTGCTCATCAATATGAGCCTCAAGTATGGCTTGAAACTAGTCGAATACGTGGTCACACAGTTACGTGAGTAAGCCAAAAACACAGTCTTATCTATACTAACTAATATTATAAAGCTGAAGAGTTTGTTTTATTGTTTGTTTGTTTGAACGCGCTAATCTCCGAAACTACTGGTTCGATTTGAAAAATTATTTCTGTGTTGAATAGTCCGTTTATCGAGGAAGGCTATAGGCTATAAAATATCACGCTACGATTAATAGGCGCCGAGCAGAGCGAGTGAAACCGCGCGGAAGTAGCTAGTACTATTATATAGTAAGTCGAAGAGTTTGCTTGTTTGAACGCGTTAATCTTAGTAACTACTGGTCCGATTTGAAAAATTCCATTTGTATTGGATAGTGCATTTATCGAGGACAGCTATAGGCTATAAAACATCACGCTACGATCAATAGGTGCCGAGCAGAGCGGGTGAAACCGTGTGGAAGTCGCTAGTAATTAAAGATGAGAATTTTAAAATACCAATACAATAATCTATCTGATGGCTACACTATCGTAACAGTATGTAATGGTGGTTGTTAGCATTAAATATATAAATAATCACATATGAAAAAAATCTTTCTTCATAACTACTTTACATTTTGTCTGTAAATCAGACACTCGGTAATGAAAGAGTATACTCAATTATCAATATTTCCATCACTTTCAATCCTCATTGTATATTAGCATCAATTTAAAAATAAAACCGCTAACAACCAAATAAACAAGTGTGAAGTTTTGTAACAAGTGTATGTGAATACATTTAGGAAGTGAATCATTCTGAGTGTTGATAACATAATCAATGACTTCTACAGAAGTCAAATGATTACAAAAAATAAATAATTAATGTGCTGGGGGTGTTGTGGATGGATGTGGGAAGGACATAGAAAGTGAAAGTTACAAACCAACACTTTACTCTGTGAAGATCCCACTAGGGACAGACAGACGGCGGATACCGACTTTGTTATGTAGTGATAATCCATTATTCAGTTTACCAAAGTTAGGCGCTTATGCAAATTGTAGAAGAACGAACAAGAAACTTAATGAGTATTCAAGTTTTCCAATTCATTTTACAATTATTGTGGGTTACATTAACTTTTCCAATAAGAATTTGATTGTGTAGGTACATAAAGTTAAGCCACAGTTACAGTTTGCGTCTGCTAGCAGACTCGCAATCCTCAGAAGTTAATAAGGGAAAGAAATAAGAGAAATATTGTTCCTAACAATAATATATAACTTGGCAAACCAAGGGAATAGTGGAACATCAATATTTTAATACACCATTGCAGCAGTTCTCATAACACATTATATTATGACTGCAGTAAACACATAGTTATAGTAATATAATTAGATATCTCGTTGTTTTGTGTACAATGTGCCAGAAAGTTATTATCTTATCTCTGTTTATATGTGAGATAGTGTGAAAGTTGAAATTCATTTGATTATGATTACTCCGGCTTTGGATCTAGTTGGAAAACTAAATTGAGTTATAAAGTTATTTAGTTAATTTTAGTAGGGCTTTGAGTTGTTTATCAGTATTTATTTTCCTCAAAGTTGATCATTGAATTATTATGTTCTATAGTGTAACCAAAATAATAGGAAATTAGAAGGCAGAATCAATTTTTAGTAACGGTTAGATTTGGAAACAAAAATATGTTTAGTGAAACAAGCAAGGACTATGAAATAATATATTTTTAATTTTTATGAATATTTTATGGTCGGTTTATTGGAATTTTAATTCTAATTAGATGAGATTATTGAAACATTTTGTTAAAGCAATACAATAAGTAAAGGGTAGTACTCACTGGCATTAATTAGGTTCGCGCTTTTATATTCTATACGGGGGTCTTCAAAGATCTTGCTATGTGTTGGGTTCAAGAAGGCCAGTTGTGGTGGAGTTTTGTCCACGACGCGTAGCCCGCTCACCAGGTCATTGAATATCAAGTACTCTACAAGGTTCCGGCCGATGAAACCGCACCCTGAATCAAAATTATACCGTCAACCGACGAAAAAGAATCTTCCCTGGCCGGATGACTAACACTCTGGGACCGTTACAAGAATTAAAAAAAAACTTGACATTTTGTACCGATAAATTATAAACTAATACAATTACATTCTTGGTAGTTTTTAGTGGATTTTCTCTTGGTTAATTAAATTAATTACCTCCTAAAACCAGAACTCGTGGTTTTGAATTATCACCGGCACAATCAGACATTTCGCTAGCCGTTTCACTAAAATGAATGACAGTTTAAGTTTTGACAGATTGTCCGACTGGCACTAGTGTTGAGTGTTACCAGAGTAAGATAAAATTTTCTACTAATTTCGTGTCCTTGGAACACGAAACCTATTTTTTTTATTATTTGTTTATTATACTTGCAACTTTTTGGAATTTTAAGAATGGGAAAATAAATAAAACCAAATAAGTTTTGTAATAAATAATAGTACTATATTTACAATATCGTCAACTCTCTTCACAAAATCTTAAAATTATTCTATCACTGTACAATCGTTTATCAATACAATCAATTCAGACTGTTTTATTTGTAAACAAAACATCCAATCTTGACCACGCTGTGATGCCACGTAGAGCGCACTAATTATAGTTTGAACATTCTAAATTACCATACAAATACGTGTTCGGAAGCCTAAAACGGTCCGATAATGAGTCAAATCAAGAATGTTATAACATTCATTGAAAATTAGCCTCTATACTGATCCCCATCGTGTCGGGAATGGATAAACAAACATTACCTACTTATTTAATAAACTAATTATCTTAATCTTTAGGGCTTTCAACATCTGCTGTACGGCTTAGTTCTCCTTGGCTTATACTTTTCAACTTGGACTCCGATGGTAAAAAGGTTGCAACAACAAATCCAGCTGAAACAATAATGGAATAAAATTAAATACTAGTTTTATTGAAAATTAGAAATATTTGCAAGAACTGCTTATAGCAAAATAGTAATTTCTTAAAGAAATAACTTTACTTAACTATTTGTCGTGATAATTATTATCACGTGATATAGGACAGTAATATTAAAGTATCAAAATATTTAACAAAAGTAGGTATTGTTCTTAGAAAAGCTTAAGGTAGGTATAGTAGATACTTACACATGACTAAGACAATATATCCGCTTATCATTGGCGTGCAATATTCCCCAAGTAGACTGGCGATGATTTGCACGCTGAAAAATCCTGAACCACGAGCTATGACTACCGACAGACACGTCGCCATACTCCTGTAGATAAAAATAATAAATATTTATCAATGATTTGCGATTAATAAATATTAATAAAGCTTTGATAGTCATTTTACCCAGGAAATCAAAATTATGGAATTGCCGTGCTTATTCATTTATCGTGAAAGGCTACAAAACATCACGCTCAATAGGCGCCGAACAGAGCGGGTCAAACCGCGTGAAAGTAGCTAGTGATTTAGTAAAATTTCCCTAGAGTTGTATACAAATACACAGTAGAACATTTAAGTATTCTGCTGAATCTGGACTTTGACATATGAATACATAGAGAGATAATTATATGATTTTAAAATACACAAACCTCAAATGTGTAGGGTTTAGCTCGACCAAATACGTGTTAATATTTCCCAAGACTTGAGCAACGTACAAGAACATGAAGAACAATGCAATGCTCAGCATTGGAACTTTGACGAATAGCAGTAGAGTTCCAGCGGTAAATGACATGACGAAGATGGCGAGCGTGATAATTTTCTTGCCAACAGCGCCCACGATGAAAGAGAGAGTGATCATCAACATTGTTGAAACTCCAGAGTACACCATTGTAGCGTAAAGGGCTCCGGTTTGGATACTATTGGAACAGTCTTCTATTTCAGTGCCGTTACCGGATCCAGTTGTCGCACTTTGACTAGCGACTTCGCAGAAGGTGCGACCGTGGTGGCTTTCATCGCCAGTGAAATAAGCGTTGGTCATAGTCGGCACCCACATGGTAAAACCAGTTGATCTGAAAGTAGAATAATTAATAAGAAACCAAATCTATAACTATAAGAGAATGAAAATTAATATTAAAAAGAATTAATATATCAAAAGATTACAACTTACGTAGTAAATGCAGAGAGCAGTAAATAGAAAAGTATGGCAGAGTTTTTCAATAGAGGAGGCTTGAAAAGTGGCGCAGTTTGGTTCCAGATCTTTTTCAATAGGGGAATTCCAGCAGAATTGTCCGCTGTGGTTTCATTGAGATAGACGTACTTAACCTAGAAATAAAAATGAACATCATCACCAACAAAACGAGACGATAACATTTGCGGGAAAACTCGAAACTTGTATTTTGATTGAGAGAGTTAACAAAATGTTGCGAAACTTACAGGATAATCTTCCTTATTTTCGCCAGAGTTGTATTTGTAAATAGTTTTCAAAACTTCTAAGGCCTCCCCATCTTTGCCTCTACTGAGTAGATACTTGGGGCTCTCTTGCAGGAATATCATTAATATGGTTCCCAGCGCACAGGGCACACAGACGATTTGCAACAGCATTCGCCATGGAGTGTACACCAAGCCTAGCCAGGAGATCTCGTAGCCGAAAGTCAGCGTAAATATTGGTAAAGCGAAAGCTGTAAATAAAATAAACCGTTTTAATCATCTAATTCAATTCGTAGGGTCACATGATCTGTGAAGTCGGAAGTTCTGACATTTATGTTAGTTAACCATAAATGCGATTTAAAATACTTACAGCAAATAAGGAGTTGCTCCACCATCGTAGCGCTAGCCATGAGAAATACAAATCGGCTGCGATGTCTGCTTGGTACGCTCTCAGCTAATAGGACAAAGGCAGCTGCGTTAGCTGCCGCTGAGCTAAAAAGTTACAAAAATAAATTATATTTAAAAACTTGTAATTACGTAAATATTACAACAGTCAGAATATTTCCAAAAGGTATCGTGAAGCCTTTGCAACTTATAAAACCAAGAGACGTGAATAACTAAATTATAATGTGGCTATATAAAAAATAACTTTCAATTTGGTAGGTTTAATACTTACAATGAAACAGATAAAAATTTGAAAATTGCTATTAGCGCGAAGGTAGGCGCCATGGTAGTTGCAAGGCTGAGAATTAATGCAACTGGCATTGCTATGAGCAACGTTTTCCTCCGACCTTGTGTGTCGGAGCACAATCCCCAACCATAAGATGATACAATCATACCTGAAAAATTCAGAAAAGTTTAATATCTTAAATATGGCGAACGAGCACTTAAATAAAGTGGTACAAATAAATAAATACTACACTTTCAACGTTTTGTTAGTCGTATTAGGTTTTTACCTAAAATAATTAATTCTGTCTACTAGACTTCTTGGATAATAAATTGCGTGACTAACCGGAATTTATTATAGAGTAGTACATTAGAACTTCCCACAGAAAATCTACAGAATAAATACAATATAGGTACGTATTGCTGTAGTTTCCTAGTTTATTTTTTGAATGACAGTTTAAGAAAATAGATACTAGTTATAGAATTATTAGTTTTTCTTACCTATTAAAGGTATAGCAGATAGTAGACCTTGTTGTGAGGTATCAAGTGACATGTCACAAGCCATGGCTGGTAGGACCACGGAGAATCCAAACATGTCCAGGTTCATAGAGAGGATGAGCAGGCAGCAAGCTATTAGCATACCAGCATTGTATTTGCCGAAGCCTGGGGAAGAATAACTTAGCATTAGTATTTCTGTGTAACTTTCATGTGCTTAGGGATTGGAATTTAAAGAAGATTGAAGATTTTTTTTTATAATCCACGTTTAAAAAAATCGACTTCTACTCCCTCTATTTTGATTTTGGAAGTTGATTAACGAAAACCTTACGAAAACATTCTCGTAAGTGTACAAGACAGTGAAAACGCACGTTAGTCGCGCGCTTATTTCGCATAATCTTCTTTGTCATCATTCTTTATTTGAAGTCGATTAAAAATTAACGGTCCATTCATTAAACTGTCAAACACCAAGCGGTCACCGGTGACCGCAACCTATTGTTCTATAATTGTGTCTACAAAACCGGTACTCGACGAGTTAAACCCGTATGATATAGATGATCCTTTTACTTTTCGTTTGCCAAAAATAAATAGTACTTAATAAGACTAAACAAGAAGGTGTAAGTAGGTACCCTTCCTACAATCCTATTGTTTTTAACTAACTATTTACAACTTTTGAGTCCCAATCTCGATAGAGCTTCCTAAGTTATAGTAAGTAAATCTATAATTAGCTTGGCACATTGCACGATATTGTGCAATTATAAATTTAATCGTAGATATTGTACTTAATTGATCCACATGATGTATCGATACGATCATCACATGATTGCTCAATTTCATGATTTTACAAAATTAAATTTCTATAAAGAAATGTATTTTAATTATTTCTGATTGCTGATTTATACAGTTTGGTAATTCCTAGTTGCACGATAGCATCTTGTTTGATTAGGTACCTAGTACTTGATTATCATGATGTATTGAAAATCAATCATTTTGATTTTGATCTTAAGAGCTGCTGAAATCGGAAATTACGTTTGAGATGTTTCTTATAATCATCTGATTTTGGCGTTTGATTTTCTAAAGTAGTGAAGACAATGCCGTTTTTAGGCATGTTTAGTTTATGTGATCCATGAATAGTAGGTACGTGTAAGTCTACCTACTAGAAAGAAATATTATCTAAAATAGAATAGTTATACTGTCCGGTAACTTTCAATTTTAAAGATCGAACTGATCTCGATCGCGATCTGCCATGTCATCGGTTGTAGAATGTTGTTTAGAATTATCTCGACCAATGAAGAGCGAGAATGCGATCGAGCTCACTTCGAGAGTTCGAATTAATCTTATAGAAAAACCTAACAGCACTACTTTATCTAAGTAATTTGATTAAAGGCAAACAGTAGGTACAACTAATACATTGATTACAAAACAATAATTACACAATAATTTTAGATTTGTTTACTTCCTTATCAGTGTAACGCTCTGTTATCATTACACTGTTAGTATAATTAATCGGTAGGTACCTAGGTAGCTACTTCCTAAGGAACTACAAATACCTACTTACGTATATTGTGGCAAAAATATAACATTACCTACAGATTTATTTTAATTTTATGTTACGTCATTGAAAAGTTAAATAAAAGATGTTTTTTGACTATGTTTGCCAATATTTTTTCTGGACAGAGTGTAAATTGTCTAAAAATAGGTTAATATACCCATGATTTTATTTTTATTAAGGGGTTAATTCGATAGGGCCTCAAAATGCTGTAATTATCAGTATAATGTATTAAGTAAGGCTCAAGTACCCCTTTCCCTAATTTTTCCATTCCAGAACCCCCAACAATCAAAGGCCGGTAATTCACTTGTAAGTTGTAACGCCTCTGGTGTTCCGGGTGGTCATGGGCGGCGCCGATTGCTTACCGTCAGGTAATCCCTAAGCTCGGTTGCCGGCTTATCCCATAAAAAAATGGCTACATTTTGAGGTCCCATGGAAAAAAGTCAAAAAAATTAATACAAATCGTCGGTTAACTAATGAAAATAATTTTAAGCGCGTATCAATTTTTCGGTGAGTCGAAGAATAGTATAGATACTCGAGCGAGCCACGTTTTCACCCTATAAGCAAGGTTTTTTTGTCCACGACGATGGCAAGAAAAGCAGAAGTTTACGTAGTCACGTAATGTATCATCATAAATTATAAATTCAAATAAAAACAGAGAATTAATTTGTAATAGGTACTACTGATTTTAATGCCTTAAATTTAAGGTATACACTATACATATTTTCCAAATAGTGTTCAGTATAAAAAGACTCGAACTCCACAAAAAACTATTTACCGACTTCAAAAAGTGCGGGAGGTAAATACTAGATCTTATTGCACCGACTTCTAACCCATCAGTAGGTGGATAGTCTATCAGTACTAGGTACTAATGGGTATTTTTTGTTGTAACTTTTTGTTTGTTATTAGTTTTAGATATTTTGAAGATGGTTTATTTAATGATTTTTTTTATTTTAATAATCGTATTTATTGTTTATTTTAGCTTTATTGTAATAAAAAACTGCTTTCTATCAAGCCATTTCAAAGCTTCCCAGTGATTAAAGGAACTGTTACAGCTGAACCAAATGTTTATTTCTTTCATATTTTTTTGCACATAGAGGCCTTATTTTTATTTGTAAATTGTTTGCTGTGCTTTGTTATTTGTAAATGTAAATAGACAACAATGTAGTGTATATTAATTATATAGCCTCACAAGTCTTAGGCATCTTATTTCTTCGGCACTTTAACAACTTATTTACACCTTATTTTATGACGGCGGGAAGCCTTCAAGAGTCACCTGTACCTCAGTAAAACCACATCAGTGGTTAACCTCAGCACCTGTAAGGGGCACCGGGTCCTCTAATTTATAGAGACGTGATCCGGAGCCCCCAAGGTGCAACGCCTGTTACGACGCATCCCTAGGGAGACACTTATTTACACCTAATGCTTACTTGGATTTAAAAAAGCTAGACTTACCTGTAAGGTTCAAGGCATCTTCGTATGTGCTTTTCTTGGAGAGGTTATCTGGAGCCACGAACGTCATTTTATAAACAAAAATTTCGAATATCACAATTAAAAAATACTCTTTAAACTTGTTACTTAAAACTGTTTTTGTTTAGGGAACAATTTTTTTTATAATGTTTCGTTACTTATAAATAAAAAAAATTAGTTTAAAATCGGGCTACTGTCCACCGTGTATTGTCAATGGACTGTAGAATAGTATTGACCCTATCAGGCATCGATGTGCGCTTAAATATAATTAGGTGTAAATCAAGTGATTGATTCATCAGATAACTCTGACTTGCAAATTTTAATTATCAGTATAACTCAACTGATTTATTAACACTCTTTTCAGGCGTGCCTTAGTGTGAAAATTACGATACATGGAACAGATTTAATAGATAAAGGATTTAAATGCATTTTTCGAATAGTAATTTTGGATTTGAACTGATAAGTGTAGGAAATAGAAGCTTGTTTCAAAACTAGGGTTCCTTATCTTTTAGACATAATATTTTTAAAAACCTATATATACTGTAGTACAGTCGTGGGAAGTTAATAATGTTGCACGAATATGTGGCTCTACGTAAGAACGAGGTATATCGCTGTTTAAAAAGAAACGGAAAGTTAACAATAGCTGAAACATACTCTGTTCGATGTTATTTCCAATTTTTTTTTATTCGATTCGATAATCATTCTTTAGTTAAATATTAACAGAATAGACAGTGCCTAGCCAACCCCAAAAACCTATTAACTTTCTTTTTGAAGAACCATATTTTGTACTGTGCCAAGTCCGTATATGTAGGTAGCTCTATGCAGATAGCAACTCTAGGTATTTTTTTATAATGGGAAAATCTCGCCACATCCTCAAAACCGCTGCAACTCCTGTAGACCAGGATCTGCACAACCATGAAAACACCGGAACGCTGAAGTCCGGGGCGTTCCAGGAACATGAATAACTGTCTTGGATGCCGCAACGATATTAATCAGAAGGTATTAATAAAGTTACTACTGGGTTTTAAAAAATCTCAGTAGTAGCACGGGGTCTGGAAATGTGCCTAGTATCAACAGTCTCACCCCCTATTACATGGGACTCATAACATAAATAGTGAAATGTGGGTGTTACTTCTATGTGCACCTCTGTCTACCCCTTCGGGGATAAAAGGCGTGATGTTATGTATTAATAAAGTAGAATAAAAAAAACTATAATTGTCACTTCCCTAGGTATGTGAGACAATTTTTTTACAGAGAGCTTACCTGTACTCAGTTACAGTCTACATGAATTTTTAATTAATGTATCCTGGTGCAACGCCCGCTAGTCTCCTTGACCACAATTACCTGATCCATGTAATTCGGCCAAAACGATAAACAAAATACTAAGTAGTAAAAGTCCCCATTCGATATCACAGCACAATTTATTTTAGCCATGTTATTATTTTTTTATAATAAGGTACAAGCTACCTATCAGGTAATTGATCTGTCTGCTTGCCGCTCATGAAAAAAAAAGAATGACAAGAAAAAGTGACAGCTCTCTAAAAGCTACTATTTTTTTTGATGACGAGGGAAACCTACGGAAGGCGCCTAACTTTGTAAGGAGAAAGACTGCAGAGTGTGTCATTCTTATAGATCTCACTAAAACCGCCTCTTCACCTATTGGGGCATTTTTTTTTGAGGGTGGACAATCAACCAATGACTTCTCCCGCCCGGGTGAGGCGAGAGGGAGTGTTAGTCTCTTACTGACTAAAAACTACTCCGTTCCTACTCATATACTTCGAACCGGAACCCCGGTAACTCGTTAAGCCCTCCGCGGCTCCGTATCGGCATCAGCCCTATTGGGTCCCATCTGTGGTGGTCTGATGGCTCCTTGAGGTGTTACCCGTGCTCGCCGTCCGCAGGCTCGTGCTTACGGTGGCCGGTGATTATCTCGCCATCCCCGGCACCTACTGGGTGTTAATAAACCCACTCCGGAGCCCCCATAGTGCAACATCTGTTACAGCACATCCCTAGTCTACACGTATGTCTCCCCTGAGCTTCGCTGTGCCTCTAAAAGCTACTTACGGAAGGAATAAAATTTTGGAATTAAGTTACTTTACGAACGGAATGTGAAAATTTTCTTGTTGTGTTTTCGCCCTGATCAAATTCTTACTGACTAAAACGATCTTATGTCGCCAGGTGTAAAGTTTCCAATTGTACTGCAGAATATGGATAGCCTACTGGAAGTTTTCAAACAATGGGTCTAGCGGAGAATCTTACTTATCTAGTTTATTTCGGGACCCCCAGCTTAAGATACAATGTTTGACGAAAGGGTATGTGTGGGATACCTTCCTATTCAAATAAGTACTTAATTTTATCAATGAACTTAAAGCACAATTTATAAATCAGTGTTTTTGATTAGGTACTTGCAGATTATCATTTTATCGGCACGATTCGCTTTGAATAAGTTTCTAGTACAAGTAAAGATAAAGATTAACAATACAACGCCATTCAATCTGGGCTATCGTAATCAGAGATCTAATTAATCAGCCGACATCTGTCATATACCACATATTCTTTAATTGGTGATAAAACAATTTCTACACAATATTATGCAACATTTTATTTTGTTGCGTCGAACTTTGTTGGAAATTCCGCTGTGAAGAGGATTCAGCTTGTCATGTCCTGGTAGATTGTAAGATTGTAGATATGGTTAGGAACTTTTTGCGTATTAAATCGTCTTATGGCTTCTCCCGCCCTGAATGAAGCGAAGCGAGAGGGAGTGTCAGAATAAGCTTTAACCTAATTATCCTGTTACGTAGCTTTAGTGTAATTATTAATGGCAACTTAGTATAGGTAATATTGCACCCTTTTAACACCTTCATATTCGGTTGAAGCTTTTAATCAAAACGATGGTGCACAATCAGTGTTGTACTGATTGTCCTTGCACTGTCCACATTTGATGCCATCGCTAAAATTCTAAGAACAAAATCCCTACGAAACGTTTTCGGGATAAACTTGGAGTCTTTGGACGTCACATTTACGACAATTGCAGTGTTAATCAATCATTCGGTAAAGTAATTAGGCGTAACGTAACGTAATATCAGATTAGATGGTCCGATAACACGTGATAGCCTGTGATAACCTCTATCTATTACAAAGATCATTTGATTGCCACGTGAAATGATGACGCGTGCCAGTCTTGTCATGCATTTCTTGGGATGATTGCAGGACAAAGAAAACAGAACACTTACGAACTACTTTTTTGGCCCAGACTTTTTCAAGCGTTCAAAGAACCTATTTCTGTTTGCATTTCAGGAAATCATAGGTTTTCCTTTACATAAGTATAATATTATATTATAGACCCCTTCGGTTTTTTCGGTAATGCAAAATTTACTATCTCATTTTTTTTACGGAGGGGAAATCATCGAATGACTGCTCCCGCCTGGGTGCCGTTAAGTCCTTCGCGGCTCCGTATCGGCATCAGCCCTATTGGGCCCCATACGTGGTGGTCTCATAGCTCTTTGAGGCGAGCGATGAACGCGACGCGCTGTACGCTCGGGTCACAATGTATCTGATTAGGTTTACCCAGACAGACAGACTAATTTTCACGTTGATAATATTGTGAGTGTTTCGGATTAATGCAGTGATTTCTATTATAGAACCAATTAAGATAACAATCAGTACTTACAATTTTGATTTATAGAAATCAGCGACGTGATTTTGTGTATGTGATAAAGAATTGTTATTTGTGGTTTTGAATTTTTACCCTTAACGCTTAAGCAGGTAAGGTTCGTTGTCGATAGTATTTTTATCTTGGGACTTCATGAGGTCTGTTGTGGGCCCTAATTATAGAAAATCACTACCTTTTTTGAGGGGAGAAAATCATCAAGTCCTGTTGTCTTGGTGAGGTGTGCCACTCTCACTTAGTAACCCCACCCTATTCCAACAACTATACCGAGCTGGGCCGCAATACTTTTGTTATTGTGAAACTGTGGCCGAGGATTCGGGGACAATCGCCACCCTGAATGTCTAAAGCAGCCGCTTTTACGATTAAATAGATAGAACACCTAATTATTGCCTCCGACAGAGACAGACAGAGATATATGACTTCCACCGAAGAACAAAGGCCCTCCTACGCGATGTCGACCGACAACTCGCCATTTGCACCCAATCAAATGCTACCCGCGTTTTTCATCACGTCGTTGTCCTCCTTAAGAGACAGGGGAGCCCCGTCCGTGCTATCAGGCCAAAGGCTCTTAACTACGGAGTATCTTCTTCCTTGTCATTGGCCAGGCAGAAAAGTTGTTCAACAGGGGTGATACTGGCCCACTCCCGAATATTGCGCACCCACGACTTTTTCTTTCGCCCAGCGCTTCTCTTGCCCATCATTATAAGACGAAACAGCAAATATGAATCAGTCAAAAAAGGGAAAACCTAGGACATGATAAATGAATGAAAGCCGTTGTAGATTTCAATCTTTAAAGTAATCTTTCCGGTCCGATTCGGTTCAATCAAGCTTGTAAAAGACTTGTAATGTAGTACCTATTAGATTTCTACCTAGATAAATTAAACTATCATTCAGACATTTAAACTATCATTATCAACAATCACAGTTATCGTCTAAAATCCCAATGATGTCTCTATTTATTTATAGAAAATATTTTTATTACTATTTTTCATAATGTTGTGCAATACTAAATATTTCTTTCAATTAAATAATGAAGGTATGTACATATACCCAATTACTTACATAAAAAATACGTAATGCGGAAAATGTATGAAAAGATTATTACGTAAACGTGATTGTTATTAATGAAATTATTATTATTATTGCGCAATATATAGTTTAAGGAATTCCAACTAAAGTAAAGAAAACTGCTATAGATCCGTTGGCTTCCTCATGTCGAAAAAATCGGTGATGAATGATGAGGATCGAGATATAAAGGAAAAATACATAAGTCTTGAGTAACCTACCTTGGGTTACCTACTAGTTGGCCTATGGGTCGACTATGAAAGATAATAAGAAAGGTCCTCTAGAAAGATATAGTGGACGTGGATTTGAGGAAACTTAGATTCAATAAATAAAACCAAGCGCAAAATTGCCAAGAAACTTAAAATGATAAATGGCTAAACCTAATGAGGATTTGTCTCTAATGAGAGGCTTGGCACCACTATGGAACTGCTACTAGACCACACTACTGACGTGACTCCCACACTATCGGATCGCAGAACCAAAGACGTAAATGAAATTGGATCCCAAGTATCTACATAAAAATATTTAGTCTTTAAAATAATGAAAAACAAAATAAGAGGTTTGTTTTATTTCAATGTATAGATTTAATGGAACATTTCTAGCGACAAAGGGATTATCTAAAAAAAGAAAATACAAACGTGAACATCTAGAGATATAAAAGTGTACCTATTACCTACGTGGGTCTAGATTTCTAGAATTGATTAGAACATTGGTTTTAAACACAAGACATAATTTAAAAACTTTATGCTTTGAAACTTCATGACTGGTCGAGTCGAGTAAAAATTAATGATTGACAGTTCTCTAGCATTTACATTTTGACAAATTACATAACAGCCGCCAAAATATAATGTTACCAGGATACGCGCATAAATTTTCTACCAATTTCTTAAACAAGTAGTTTTTCATAATTGTTAATTATTTTTAAAATTACGTAAATAAAACAAAGTATTAATTTAATATATTAAATATATTTTCGTCAAGTTTTTACAATTCATTAACATTTCACATTAATCGTACTGCGACAGACAAAATAACAGTAATAATTATTTAAATTCGAGTTACAATATTAAAGCATACACTACTGAACTATCTACAAAGACTATCCTATCTACAATGCTAATATATGCTATCTACAATGAGCTAAAAATCATCATCTTACATTGTCTACTACTCATAGTGTGCCAAAAAGTGCATTTCCTTAATTAAGATATTTCTTTAGTTAAAAAGAAATCGCACTTTCCTTTGTCAATTGATATCGTTCAAAGATTTGTTAAAAAAAAAAAAAAAAAAAAAGTGGGTGTTACAATGCACGGTGACAATGTGCACCTCTGTCTACCCCTTCGAGCATAAAAAGGCATGATGTTATGTTATGTCAATAGTTATGATGGTGCGTGAACAGCACAATGGCTATTACTTAACGTTGTAAAATTTAGTCTCACACTTTTTAAGACTGTTTTACAAGAAATTTATGTTTGGAAACGTTATTTATGCATTAAATAACATTTACACGATCCAGCAACCTTGATTTAATAAAATCAGTTTTTGGTAGTTATCCTGTATCTACATCGGAAGCCTAAAACGGTCCAAAAAACTAACAAAGAATGTCATAGACATTCAAATAATAATAGATCCAATTTTCCAAGTACTGAAAAATGACAGATCACAATAAAAAATTATAAAATATTAAATAACATTGAGTTTAAACTTTAGGATTCTCAACGTCTTCCGATTCATTTCTTTCTATTTCATTCTTTTGTTCTTCTGGTTCTGAGTCAGATGGTAGGAATGTTGCTACTACGAATCCAGCTGTAACAAAAATGAAAACAATTATTTATTTAATTATCACACTTCTTGATACAAGAATAAGATACATTACCATTGACCATTTAAAATACTGGAAACTATCACATGTAGTATAGGTAATAAAAACAGAACACACTTACACATAACTAAGGCGACGTATCCACTAAGCATAGGCATGCAGTAGTCACCCAGGAGGCTGGCGATGATCTGTACGCTGAAGAATCCAGAACCACGAGCCACTACCACTGATAAACACGTTGCCATACCCCTGGGAAAGTAAAAAGACCAAGACATGTAGATTTCAAAAGATTAAAGTTATTTTAAGTCGTAATAAGGATTTTATTTTAAAATTGCTACAAATTTCAGGAATTACATACAAACAAGTTTTATTTAAGATCCGCTTTACTGATGAAAACTGTACAACAATCTGTTCAGCAGTTTCTGAGTTTATCGTTCACAGAAAGACATGGTTGGAGACTTTGATTTATGAATTGTAAGTATATAGGAAATAATAGAATATGAATATTTTCAAATATACGAACCTCAAATGTGTAGGGTTCAGCTCAACCAGATAAGTGTTCACATTTCCGAGAATTTGAGCGACGTATAAGAAAACGAAGAACAAAGCGATGCTTAGCATTGGAACTTTGATGAAGAGCAGCAATGTTCCAGCAGTCGACGATATGATGAAGACAGTGAGGGTGATCTTCTTCTTTCCCATGACGCCCACGATGAAGGAAAGACAGATCATCAGTGCTGTTGAAGCGCCTGAGTATATCATTGTGGCGTATAATGCTCTGGGTTCAATGCTGCCTGTGCAATTTCCAGATTCCTGTAAATATTGTAAATATAATTTAGGGAAGTGCCATTGAGTTTGTTTACGGAACCAAGCTTTTTTAACCAAACCTTTTTATTATTCAAAGAGATGGGTATATGCTATCGCTAATTTTATAACGAAACAGATGTAATTATGGTCCTGTTGTTATATATTAAGCACAAATTTAGACTCTGCATTCGATCTAGAAATCTAACCACAGTCGGGCTCCTTGTCAGTTTCGGTCATGGTAATACAAATACGGAAAATTAAAACGAGACAAACAGATGTTGTGGAACCAGTTTTAATATTTTTACATCATTTTGAAATACTGGCTTGATTAATGTATCGTAGAAAATGATAAAAATCTTACAGTGCTATTACTGGACCCTGTCTTCGTGCTCTGACTAGCGACTTCACAGAAGGTGCGACCGTGGTGGCTTTCATCGCCAGTGAAATAAGCGTTGGTCATAGTCGGCACCCACATGGTGAAACCAGTTGATCTGTAAATAGGATATTTAATAAGTCTTGATTTTTCTAATTTAGAGAATTTGAGTAGTTTTATTATAGATCCTTCCAAAACAAATTTATTTTACACCAACAGCTTATAAGTGGCCACTGCTGACTAAAGGCCTCTTCTCACACGGAGAAGGTTTGAGCATTAATCACCACGCTTACTCAATGCAGATTGGCGATTTTAAACTTATAATTAGAAATTATAAGTTCAGGTTACCTAACGATGTTTTCCTTCACCGTTTGTCACGTGATGTCTAAATAATCTTGGAAAGAACATTTAATTCGGAAGAAGTCACACTCATACTTGCTGTTTCGAACTCGCACCCTCATGCATGAGAAGCGGTCGTCTTAGACCTCCGAGCCACCAAGACATTTTCAAAAGAAAAATTATTTGAACTTTACTAAATAAATAGACTGTTACAGAGAATTTCAAAAATCTAAATGCAACTCGTCTTTGATTGGAACTCTTGCTTAGGATTTACTAGAAACTATGTATTTGTACTATTATATATTATGTGAACTATGAACTCACGTCATGTAAGCAGTAAGCAGCAGATAGTACAAGATGGCTGAGTTCTTCAACAGAGGGCGCTTGAACAGAGGAGCGGTTTGGTTCCACACCTTCCTTAGCACTGAGGTTTCAGCAGAACTGACTGCTGACGCTTCTTCTAGGTACACGTGCATGATCTGAAAAATGAGAATGTACATATTTTCACTAATTGCTTCACATAAGGAAAATAGTTCTTTTTAATTTTTTTTTGTCGTTCAGTGACAACAATCAGGTGGTTGTAGCCAATAAGTATAATTATGTGCATTTATCAGTACCTATGCCATAATAATTACGAGACCTTTATCATATTACAAAGACTTAATTCATGATTAATGTATAAAATACGTAATCTGTTCAGCAGAATATAAGGAAACTTTATGAACGATTTATTTGACCTTTCAATATTGGTATCGTAAATTTTAATGAGATTTGATTCAGACTAACTTAAAGAACCATGTTAGTAGCATTCATGTCACATTGTGATTTTTAGTGTTCGCAGTTTAAAGTATGGTTTGAACGCAATTAGTATTTCCCATTCAACATTTCGTAAACTAAAAACGACTTACAGAATAACTATCCTTCTTTTGTCCAGTATTGCATCTGTATATAGCCTTGAACGCCTCTAACGCTTCATCATGCCTATCCTTGCTGAGGAGGAACTTGGGACTTTCTTGCAAGAAGATCATGAATAAGACGCCCAAACCACATGGAAGGCAGATGATTTGCATCAACATGCGCCATGGTCTATACACCACGCCTAGCCAGGAGATCTCGTAGGCGAAGTCCAGTGTGAAAATAGGTAAGGCGAAGGCTGGAAACAAAAAATGTAATATGTTAATATTTGGTTTCTCTTATATGTAGATGACAATATTTTTTTATTGGAAATTGTGGTAAAGTTTGTTAATTTAGTTCAATGCGATAGGAAGTTAGAACTGTGCTATGGTGTCGTAATATTGTCTCTGAATAAACTAACAACTTTTATTTATATTTTACTGCATTTTGTAATGAAAGATACTAACAGCAAATAATAAGTTGCACCACCATAGTAGCGCTGGCCATGAGGAACATGAACCGGCTTCGGTGTCTGCTCGGTACACTCTCAGCTAACAGGACAAATGCTGCTGCGTTTGCTGCTGCTGAGCTGGAAACCAAACAATTGAGGAATATTAAAAATGTGCAGAAGTAATTTACAGTGAATCAGTTAAAATCATAGCCCTACTATTCTGAATTAGTTGGATAAAAATAAAGTGGTTCTTGTAAAAAGTTTTGAAAAGGAAAACTTTCGCGCTAAACAAATTGACAGTTCCTTTCAATGTTACCATGCTAAATATTAAAACAGAAATTGGTAGGTTTTTAATTCAGAACTGTTCATATTACGCCCCTTATGAAATAATTAAGAATTGAGTAATAAACTTACAATGACACAGACAGAAACTTAAGGACAGCCATTATCGCGAAACTTGGCGCCATGGTAGCTGCAAGGCTGAGGATGAAACCGATTGGCATTGCTAAGAGCATAGTTTTTCGTCGCCCTGTTGTATCCGCGCATAAACCCCAACCGTAGGACGATAGGATTACACCTGGAATTTGTAGAATATTGTGTTAATAAACTGGAAAACTATTGATTACCTATTTATTTCATTAAAAAAACGATTATAGGTACTATATTGCCTGTGGCATTAAAAATGTTAGAGGCAAGTAATTTTAAATCGTTCAATAAAATCGCTGTCAAAATACTTTTACGGTAGTATATTTACATAGGGTTTTTCACATAGTGCAGTCACTCGTCGATATAAATACAGATATTTCTCACCTATCAGAGGTATAGCAGACAGTAGACCCTGCTGTGATGTGTTGAGCGACATGTCACAAGCCATAGCTGGTAGTACGACGGAGAAACCAAAGATATCCAGGTACATAGCCAGGATCAGCAGGCAGCATGTTATCAGCATACCCACATTGTATTTGCCGAAACCTGGGGAAAGAAAAAAAATGAGTTATGCGTAACAATCTGTGTCAATTGCCCATAATTGTCTACTCTTGGACTATGACCTTTATCTTCATTAGAGAGTTTGCCATTTTCTCCACGACAGGCAAGGTGGTTGGATATGGAGACCCAAGTTAAAAAGATTCGGTCTATTAAACTGTCAAACACCAAGCGGTCACCGGTGACCGCAACCTATTGTTCTATAATTGTGTCTGTATTGACGGTACTCGACGAGTTAAACAACGTTGCTGCCCGGTTTATAAACAATGCCTCATTTTTACAAGCCTCACAGCGAGAACACAAATTTATTCTACTCAGTCTCAATCTTTCTTTCTTTTCAAGGCTTATTATGGCTAATACTATGTAATGAAGTTTAAATAGGCACACTGGTAGTTAATTTTTAGCTCCCGAATCTACTACTCGTATAATTTATTTGCTTCGACCAAGCGTCTGATAAGATTTAATTGACATTCATTGACGACAATTTATTCTCGTACAATTCGAAATAAAAAGAACTTGGGAGCTATGGGAAATAAACGGGTTTGTTTAACTCTTGGCTTTACATCGTCTTCAGCAGCCTATAGATCCCAGTGCTGAACATAAAGCCACGCAGCATATCCTCGTACGGAGAAGAACTGGGCATTAATCACGGCGATTGCTCAAGGCGGATTATAGACTTCAAACTTATAATTTGCAATTGCAAGATCCAGGTTTTCCACGAAGTGTACCGCTACATAACGTTCTTACTATCAAATAACGATTAATGAAATGGTTCGTCGTTTTAATAGATAAATATTCGATCAGATAGACAGCAAGTTGTAATCTTTTATTGATATAATCTTGATGACCGATAATTAATTAATTATGTTGATGATTTTTACGTAGACAATTTAATGTGTCATCTTCTAGACAAGTCAGAGGAGTCAGCCAGTTACTCTTCTTACTCGCTCCTGTTAGCGGCGTCGCCCGTCTAAAACCTGGATAAAAATGGCACATAGGCATGTGATCTCAGGATATAATCCATTCAGTCGTTTTTGCCTCAAAGAGTAACAAACGTTTATCGAGCCATTAAATTAAGATTCCTGCCCTCATAGCGGGGTCGGGTCTACGCCCATGTTGTGAAGACGTGTTTCAGATTCTCTGCTATTATTCTATAACTGAGTTCTTTCGAAAATCAAAGCTTCACAATCAGTTAATTTTTCAAACAAAATCAGTTTTTAAACCAGTTTGGTTGGTTGCACGATGTTGTGCAATAAACATAAAAAGGTACTTATTTGATATACATGATTGATAGATAGATGATTGGTCGCCATTAATCGATGTATTAATTAATGGAAAATGTGTAGTTTTCCTACAGCGCTAATAACTAATGCACCTACTTAGGAGTGTCATACTAGAAAATATTTATTGACAAGATTGTTCGATTCTTCTAGATTTATCAGTCTATAATTGATTTTAAGAGAAAGACTATGATTGAAAACATTGGTCGTTTAGCCTTTATCAGTGTAAATTTGATTTCTTTCATTGTTGATATTGAATTGTGATAATCGTTGAAGACTTCAAGGGAAGTCTACAGTACGGTGGACGGTGTAGTAGGTGTAGTATTTATACTCATTTTTGGAAAGAAAAAAATCTTTACTTCACACGCTAAAAACAAGTGACATGTACAGGTTATAGACATGGCAAATTATTATTTATTAGTACTGATGGGTAAATGTTCATGGACCAAGTCTGCGGTGAAATGGGACCAACGTTTTGGAAACTTCAATAAGATAAGGGATTACAATGAGAAGTCATATACTGCACAAGATAAGGAAGGAGGCAAGTAATGTTTTCTCTATGACGATTACGAAATTTTAGTGTTTCAAATTTTAGCTGTATTTTTTTTTTAAATAAAGCGTTGCCCCACTTTAGGATTTTCTTCTGTGTCGTGGGTGCGTTTACAAACACACACGTTGTGGATCACACAAAGTTTTGTTCCGTGCGGGAATTGAACCCGCGACACGTTGCTCAGCAGCCGGTTGCCCAGCCACCGCACCAACCGTGCAGTAAATTATTTTTTTTTGCATTTGTTTCCTCCAAACATGATATCTTTTGCCCTTCAAAGACCAGTATATTTTAAACGGTATTTAGTTCCAGTTACAATTATATAGATGCTTTCCAAACTTCCATGTTATCCTTAAAATTTTCGCCAATTGATAATTATGAATTAAGTAGTTTGGAATTCTTCATGCAAATCGGTTTAATTTAACCGTACGTACATTTAAGTCATGTAAATACTTTCGCATTAATAGTACTATTGAGTTCATAATAATTCTCTTTATTTATTAACAGTCGTGATTGAAGACACGTGGCCTGTGTTGTAGTATGTACTCACTAGTAACTAACACGTGCATTCTCACATGTTGTTCCTTCTACAAAAGATTTCAGTAGAAATAGCTCACGAAGGAGTATACATGTTTTTATAGTCTTTGAATTTTCAGATCATTGTACGTTGAGCATAATTGAATAATTAATTTGTACACAATATTGAACGACGGACAGAGACAGACTATTATTAATTTTATATTTGTTGAGGTTACAAAACTATCAAATTATATGGTTAAATTGAAATTGTGTTTTGAGTTTGAGTTTGAACTGTTGATATTGTAGTAAAATGAATGGCGAACAATATAGGTCAAAGGAATCTTGATTGATTTGATATATTATTGATATGATATATATTAAGTTTGATATTTACTAAACTTGTGCTTGTACCCACAAGCACAAGTTTAGGCAGGACTACTTAGTAACTTCATACTTGATGACGGGAATGTTTATTAAAAATTTAACGCAATTTTTTTTTCCAATTTCAGAGAAGCAGAGAGCAGCATATGATCATCAAACTCATTTGTTTTTGCGGGATAAGGGCCCAACAAGCAGTTGAATACCCTATTTCAAGAGAAGTTATTAGCGCCATCCATGTTTATCAGTGACACCAGACAAATTCAAGTGCGTTGTTGTCACAGGTACATAATTTAGAACTAATGGACTAGTGATACTCAGATTCTTAACATTAAAGGATGATTTTTCAAGTGTGGGAGAGCCATGCTTCGGCACAAATAGGCCGGTTCGATCGAAGTGATACCACGGCCTCACAGAAGACCAACGTGAAACAACGCTTGCGTTGTGTGAGTGAGGTTACCGAAGGCCCTTTTCTCTCCTCCCTTTCCCCAATTTCTGAATCCCCAACACTCCTCAAATTCCTAATCCTAAAGGGCCGTTAATGCACTTGTCTGGTGTTCTAGGTGTCCATGGGCGACGCCGATTGCTTACCATTAGGTGATCCAATGACCATCTTCTCGTTTACCGGCTTAGGTAACACTTAAAAAATATTTTAGATAGCTCGAACCTAACTATGCTATTGTCGAAAGTTGCTCTTTTACTCGGAAAATTGTTTCAAACGCATTCTTTAGTTTCATTTCAATACAATAGATTGGTTTGGTTATTCGGACTGTTGAAAACATGTGCGCGTGTTTTTGTTTATACGAATGAATGACGTAATCTATTAGGTATACTACAACACTATTTACATTATTTCTATCGCCAATTGTATCTTTCATGGTATCTTTGGTTGCATTTTTTGAGAATATTTATTACGAAAATTATGATGCTGTAAGATATTTCAATTAAGTTCAATTACATATTATTAAATTACTCCTTCGTGCGTAAATAGAACACTGAAATTAAACATCACTTTCATTAATATATTTCTAGATTATTCTTGAAAATTCTTACCTAGGTATGATTAGGCACGATTTATAGTTAATAATGTAAAAACTATGTCTATAAAATCTGAAATAAACGAAAATTACAGTAGTCTGTTTGTGATAATTTTGTAAATTGTCTAGTTTACTTATCTGTGTTTGTATTTCCTGAAATTGAGGTAGGTTATGGTTTCATATATAGGAGGAGGCGGGACGCGTGAGGCAGCGAAGCGCTGCCTCCTCGCAACCCAGCCATCGCGAAGGACACACCGGGCGTCGGGGATCGCGGGACGATCTCCGGCCACCGTAAGCGCGGGCCTGCGGACGGCGAGCATGGGTGGCTCCCCGTCCGACCAGAAACAGACCCGAGCGTACGGCGCGTCGCGTTCCGCGCGCGCCTCAAAGAGCCATCAGACCACCACAGATGGGGCCCAATAGGGCCGATGCCGATTCGGAGTCGCGGAGAACCTAACGGGTAACCGGGGCTCCGGCTCGACGTGCAGGAGAAGGAACGGGGTGGTTTTTAGTCAGTAAGAGTCTGACACTCCCTCCCGCCTCACCCAGGCGGGGGCAGTCATTCGATGATTTTCCCCCCTTAAAAAAAAAAAAAAAAAAAATGGTTTCATATATGTACAATGTAAATTTTTAATTATTTTAAGTATTCTTTTTCTTTCTTTTTAGCACTAGTAGTAGCACGAAATCTGGAATTGTGTCCGGTGCAATAGGCTCACCCCCTATAACATGGGACTTATAACATAGGTACATAGTAAAAATTGGGTGTTACATTGTACAGTGGCATTAAGAGCCGTAATTTGCACCTTTGCCTACACATGTTATGTTATGTTTTTCGAACTTCTGAAACGTCTGCGGCCCTATGAATTCCCTAAGTATTTTTAAAAGTACCTATTTGTCGGATGCATAATAATCTTTCAGACTTTCAGATAGCACTGAATTTTCCGAGTTAAAAACACGCGAGTCTCAACCTTGAAGCACAGATTTAGAGTTAGGATTATTTTTACATCAGAGGCGAAAAGGGGGATCTCAAATTGTTAGTAATTTTCATTTGTTGGCAATTAAATATTTACTGGCCCACGAATGACAGTTATTTTCAGTCATAAAAACATCCATAAAATATTATCGATCCAAAATTACACCATACACGAAGTTTATAAACACGATTTAAAATAGAAATCTCGAATATTTTTTTTTATTATAAAATTAATCACTCACCTGTGAGGTCCAAGGCATCTTCAAAAGTATTTTTCTTTGAAATACTGTCTGGAACGGCGAACGCCATTTTTAAAAATATAAAACACGATTAATATTTTTGAATTAGGAACTCTTGAGTGAATACTTTTTTTTTAATAATAGTTTTAATTTTAGTTGTTTGTGATAATTGTTTACGTTTTTTTTTTAGCTGGAGTAGCCTACTTTTTGCCGCGTATCGGTAACGGAATGGCGAATAGTGGAATGGCGGTCGTGGACCGGTGCACGCTTAAATATAGTTTCAAGTAAATCAAATACTGATAGTAGAACCCTGTGGGTTGACGGCAGATACTCTCAGATACATTTCATGAGATAACTATGACTTGCGACTATCCTCAAGCTCTGTGTTTACATTTACCCGTAACACTTTTTTTCGTTCAACAAAAATGTTTACACGAAATATCTTTGTCGAATTGCTCATAGAAAACTGAAGTGTGAGTGCTAACAAAGACTCAATGTAGGCTTCAGTGCAAATATTTCTTTTATATTTACAGAGTTCATAAACTGATAAGTGTGTAAAATAAAATTAGTTAATTTATGTCCATATAGCTTGGATTGCAATGGAATGTTTCAGTTTTTTCACACGACTCTGTCATGTGTCTTTGATTAAGTAAATATAGATATTATTGCTTACTCTAACAGTAATTACTTAACTTACGTAGACTTCTATTTATACTTACATTTTGTGTTTTAGTTCCTGGATCTGGTGATTAATTTCACTATAAGATGGATGGAGGCAGAATATTTATGTTTTTTTTAAATCTTTTCTGTTAATGTTTTTTTAAATGGTTTGGTAAGGCAATTCCTGTCTAATTACCTATTCTATATCTATTCTAATCAAAGAGGTCCATCAATTATTCCAATTTGAAAATCTTTTGGAAGATTTCTTCTGAAACAAATAATGTTGCAGATATCAATTGTCAAAGTGTATGTACATACAACAATACAACTAAACATTTAATTGTTTATCCATAAGCCTTTGAACTAAAAGATATTGAATCATTATCATCAGTAAGATACAGATTATAAATTATCTTCCTCTACTTTGTTAATTACATGAACAGACTAGTAATTAACTAATTTTTGCTCGCGACTTGTTGTATATTTGGTTAAGAAACTTTTATATTAGGAAGCCTCCATAGCCCGTTAAGGGTGATGCTGTAATGGGTAACGGGGGCTCCGGCTCGACGTGCAAGAGTCTGTCACTCCCTCCCACCTCACCCAGGCGCAGTCATTCGATGATTTTTCCCCCTTAAAAAAAGGGTGATGCTACGTCATAAGTTTTGTCAGGTTTTTTGGGCTTCTGTCAGTCTGACTAATTCTTTCTTCTAAATACATAGATAGTAGAACTTCTTGAATAATTTTGAATTTATATAGATTAAAAAGATAATGAGATGACCAAAGAAAAAACTGCGTTTAAAAAACCAACAACAAAAACAAAAAACTAAATTCAAACAAAAGGTGAAGACTAAAAGTAAAAGTTTTGAAGTCGATTTTTTAAACACAGTTATTATTTTTTACTTTTGTATTGTTCATTGGTTGGAGTAATAGAGACATTTATACCAGGGGATGCTATTACTCGAAAAAGTAATACCATGCAACCTATTTTTGGTGACCAATTGTTGACATAATAGTTTTCCCGCCCATCATTTAAGAATATGTAAAGAAATTATATTTTCTTTAATAATTATTGTTTATATGAGATTTAAGTAATTAAACTTTTTTATGTTACCATAGATAACATTTAGAATCTATGGATTGAGAACTGTCAAAACAAGAGACGTGATAATTGAATATCTTACGGAAAGTAATTAAAATAGATAAAAGGGGGAATTTGGAATTAAATAATAGGCTTAATCGTTGTTTCTTTGATTTACAGGTGAGATGATCATTATTATTTTATTACTAGATTGTTAGTGTACCAAAATATGTTATGTTTTGTTAAATAAAATCTTTGATTTACAGAGCAACACGTGGTTTGTTATTTCTATTTCAACATCTCCAAATAACCCAATCATTACAAATATATGGATAGATGGCGCTGTAGTTTATGGAAATGCAAAAAATTCCCTCATAGTAGGTACCTACCTATGTCACTCATATTTTTATCCTGTTGGCGACACAATGAGTGACAGCCAGGTATTGTTTTAATGTTTGCACAGAGTAAACAGCGTCAAAGTAATTAGTATTGAAGCTCAGTTACCCAGCAAGTTTAGCAGCCTTGTAGTTCTGTTAAACGTGTGTGTGTGTTTGAACGGTGTTATCAGTCAGTCAGTCAGTACTAATAGTGTAAATGTGACTGTATGTTTCCATGTGTTCTTTCATGTGAAAACTAAACAAAATTGATGTGATTTTTTTTTGCTCAAGTCGGAGTACTGTAACATCAACACTTGACCTATATTCGCAATAAACGATTTGAATTTGAAAAAAAAAATTACTCCAAAATCTCGTTATTTGATAAAAAAATATCACTGTTTATTATGGGTAACAGTTTCTACGTATCTTGGGATCGTATAAACATTGTACCCATAGTTTACTTATAGTTCTCTTAACCAACAGGAGATCATAGATGGCGCGACAGTGTTTTAGAAGATGCTATATTTACGTTAGTAGGTATTATTCGGTAATTTATTCTCATGGTGTATTGATAGAGTTCTTAACAGCATAGTATGAAAGAAATTTTATTTCTTCTCTTTGCAGGCAAAGTCACGGGTATCAACTAGTATATTTTTACAATGTTTGCATTACCTGTATCATATGATACAGTATTGAAGCTCGTTACCCAGCAAGTTTAGTGGCCTTGTAGGGAGTTACGTGTGTAGTGTTTGAACGATGTTATCAGTGTTCGCACTACGTAGATACTTATTATAATGATACTAAAATTGCTAATCTGGATGTGTATTTGTTTGTCATTCTTTTCCGTTGAAACAGATCGACTGATTGTATCGAGATGCACAGAAAACTTATTTTATCTGTGGATTTAAATTTTGCAAGATGGAGGTTAATTTAGTAATTCGATTGATATGGTTATTAATTAATACCTTATAAGTAATGAGTTTAAAGTATTAATATTAAACAAAAAAATTATATTATGATTTCAAATACAAAGAATAATAGTTATTAATTTTGGTAATTATTGATAAAGAATTTCTTTGTCTTTGAAGTCTATACTTTGAAGTATAAACTAAATAATTGAAATTAGGTTAACAATACAAATGTTTTTTATTTTATTTTAAAACTATAAAAACATATTATTATGTTACAGGGTGCGAGACTCGCGCCACATGACTATCTGTGTACTGACTGAGTGACTGACTAACTGACTGGGTATAGGTAGTCACAGACTTTGTGCTCTGAAAACTCTTAACATTTTTTCCGATCCAGGAAAGGAACATTTATTTATTAGTATTCATCCTTTATCAACATGAAGGAGCGCAGTATACTTGTCTTGTAGACGGGCACTTGTTCGCTCTGCAGATAAAACCACAGGTAAAACTTAGTACATTATATAAATGTTTACACTATAACGTAACGCAATCATTAAGCTCAGTTACCCAGCATCTTCAGTAGCATTGTCTGTAAGTGTGTAAATGTGTGTGTGATATCGCTGTTCGTAATTTTATACTAATATTGTACCTATATTTGAATGGGTGTTTGTTTGTCGTTCTATCTGCTTACATGTTTTGATTGAATTGACCGGAGTTCGACAGGAAATTATACTCTATTTCGTGAATAACTTTTAGTTCGTGTTTATCTTTCAACTGTGTTGTTTAAATTCTTTTCAAAACTGTTTTTCACAGCCCCACGGGGTAAACACAATGTCGTTAATTCTAGTATAAGCTAATTCGATAAATTTTATTCAATCAGTCTATTATTACTATAGACATTGTGTGGGAGAGCCATGCTTCGACATGAATGGGCCGGCTCGACCGGAGTGATACCATGTTCACACAGAAGACCGACGTGAAACAACGTTGTATTGTGTTTCGTCGTGTGAGTGAGGTTACCGGAGGTCCAATTATCCCCCCAGCCCCCCTCCCTTTCCCCAATCCCTGAATCCCCAATAATACTCAAATTACTAATCCAGAAGGCTGGTAACGCACTTGTAACGCCTCTGGTGTTCCAGGTTTCCATGGGCGACGCCGATTGCTTACCATCAGGTGATCCAATGACCATCTTCTCGTTTACCGGCTTATCCCATAAAAAAGACATAATGTGTAGTTCTCATCTGCATAAGTAGAACGTAGATGGCGCTAACGTATTATTTAGCCTTGTTATCTTAACAATGTCTGTTTTTCTTTTACGCTGTGCTTGTAGCTACTTCTCCTCTACCACGTAGGCCAAGCCGCGCCTAACAATTAGTCTTTTAAATAAACGTTTACACAGAGTAAACTGCGTCATACAGTATTGAAGCTCAGTTACCCAGCAACTTTTGTATCAACCTATGTATGTGTGTGTATATTGCACGATGTTATCACGTTTTTATACAATGTTTATACAATAGTTGCTGCGACACATTCATTAAGCTCGTTACCCAGCAATTTTTGTATGTGTGTCGTGTGTGTAGTAAGTGTGTATATGTGTGAGTGTATTTGCACGATATTATCATATTTTTTTTAAAACGTTTATACAGTGGCTACGAAACGTTCATTCAGCTCGTTACCCAGCGGTTTTCACATGTGTGTGTTGGATACGCGCATGTGTGCGATATTTGAACGATGTCACATTTATATACAATGAAACATTTTTTAAGCTCGTTACCCAGCGATTTTTATATGTGTGTGTTGGAGACGTGCATGTGTGCGATATTTGTACGATGTCACATTTTTTTTATAAAATATTTATACAATTGCTACGAAACAGTTTTATGCTCGTTACCCAGCGATGTGTGTGTAGCACGTGTATATGTGGGACATTTATACGGTGATTTCATAATTGTTTACAATTTTACACACACGGTAAAAAAACTATTAAGCTAAGTTACCCAGCAACTTTAGTTTCCATGTGTGTGTTATTAAACGACGCCATTGAAATGTGTAAATGTTTGTTTTCAGTGTAAAAACAAGATAGTTGTTAAGCTCAGTTACCCAGCAACTTAGTAAACTTGATTTTGCATGTGTGCGTACATGTTTATATTTGTACTAAATTTACACATTTTTTTTTATATAGGTAAATGTTGACATTAGGCTCACCCCCTATTACATGGGACTTATAACATAAATAGTGAAAAGTGGGTGTTACATTGTACAGTGGCATTAAGTGCCGAAATGAGCACCTCTGCCTACCCCTTCGGAGATAAAAAGGCGTGATGTTATGTTATGTT